ATGTCTGTCTGTCTGTCTCCAAATGACTGACTGTCCGTCCGCCTGTCTCTATGTGTCTGTCTGTCCATGTCTGTCTGTCTTTCTGTCTCCAAGTGTCTGTCTGTCTGTCTGTCTCCATGTCTGTTTGTATGCATGTCTATTTGTATGTCTGTCTCCATGTCTGTCTGTCTCCATCTGTCTTTCTGTCTGTCTGTCTGTGTGTCTGTCTGTCTGTCTCCATGTCTGTCTGTCTGTCTCCAAGTAACTGACTGTCTGTCCGCCTGTCTCTATGTGTCTGTCTGTCCATGTCTGTCTGTCTTTCTGTCTCCAAGTGTCTGTCTGTCTATCTGTCTGTCTGTTTGTCCATGTCTGTCTCCAAGTGTCTGTCTGTCGTTCTCCAAGTGTCTGTCTGTCTGTTTCCATGTCTGTCTGTCTCCATGTCTGTCTGTCTCCATCTGTCTGTCTGTTTGTCTGAGTGTTTTTTTGTCTGTCTGTCTCTGTGTCTGTTTGTCGTTCTGATTGTCTGACTACATGTCTGTCTGTCTCCATGTCTGTCTGTTTGTCTGTCAGTCTGTCTGCATGTCTGTCTGTCTCCATGTCTGTTTGTATTCATGTCTGCCCATCTGTCTGTCTGTCTCCATGTCTGTGTGTCTCCATGTCTGTCTCCAAGTGACTGTCTGTCTGTCTGTCTGTCTGTGTGTCTGTCTATCTGAAAGTGTTTGTCTGGTATTGACCCAAAACACACTTAGTAGATGACAACTGCCTTGCTGAGGAAGCTGAAGGTGAAGGTGATGGACTGGGCAAGTATGTATCCAGCCCTAAACTCACCTGTGCACCTGTGGGGAATCCTCAATCTTAAGGTGGGGTAGTGCAAGGTGTCTTGACATCCATCTGCTCCATGATGTCATCATGGAGGAGTGGGAGAGGATTCCTGAAGCAACCTGTGAGCTCTGGTGAATTCCATGCCCAAAAGGGTTAAGGCAGTGCTAGATAATAATGGTTGGCACACAAAATATTGACACTTTGGCACAATTTGGACATGTTCACTGTGGGGTGTACTCATTTATGTTGCCAGCTGTTTAGATGTTGATGGCTGTGTTTTGAGTAATTTTCAGAGGAAGGTAAATCTATACTACTATACAAGCTGTACACTGGTTACTTTAAGTTATGTCAAAGTGTCATTTCTATAGTGTTGTCCCATGACAAGATATAATGAAATATTTGCAGAAATGGGAGGGGTGTACTTACTTATGTGAGATACTGTATGTTGGTATCAAATTTTTAACTGCATTTATTTCACCCCACTCTGTAAATATTGCATAATTTACAATTAAGAGACTGAAATTGTTGTTTAATTCTTGTTTTACTTTTTTTCATGCAGTTGCCTTGATGGATACAGTTTCATGGAGAGGAAATGCTGTAAAGATATGTTCACAGTTACGGACCACACGGTATGTCAACTCACCAACAGTGGCATCTGTGTGCAGCCATAACAGGATGCAGTCCTTGAATGCAGGCGAGACAAGTGACCCATCAGGCTTAAGTTGAGTCTGGCGCATGGAGCCCACCTTCTCTGGCAGCCCAACACATAATTACAAATAAAACTCTCAGATTTTCAGTTTCTTGATTATCTGTTTTCCATCCAACATTCATCCACAAATAGAAAATTCAAGAAACAGTGCATTTTCAGGACTTGTAGATAACTGGGAAAAGTGTTGATGCCCATTGCTGCAAAATATTCTTTTCAAAAAAGCCAACAGCAGCTTTACTTATCTTATGGAAAACTCCATGTTTCTTGGGCTGGAAAATAAATGCTATCAAAATGGTAGTTCTGCCATGATTTCTCTCCCTTTTCCAGGCTATCCTGTCTTTCATCCCTCTTTCATACTTTAAACAGTTTGCTGCACTTATCATGCCCTCTGTATGGAGTTTCAAGATTGTATGTATCACCAAAAAACACCTCATTAGATCAAAGGATGAGGGTTGTTTTGGCTTGCCACACTTTAAAGTTTACTTCTGGACGGCTGCTATCACAAGAACACACTCTTTGTAATAAGACCTGTCTTCTTGCCCTTCTTACAAGAGAGGCCGGGTTAAAGGTGCAGCCAAACTTGCAACGCTCAACAGGTCAGACATGCATCTCTAAACTATTGAACTACATTTTACAGTACAGTACACTATGTTTATATTTTACATCTACTGACATTTTGATTGTTTTGTGTTTTATATTACTGTATACAGGATTTAAAGGTTGCCTCCTTACTTCTCTCATTGATATGGTCATGGCAAACAATGTCATAAAACTGAGAGAAATTCTGGACAGAGTGCTGGCAGACAATTTTACTTTTCCCAGTGTGAATTCGGTCAGCACAACAACAACTGCCAGAGTCCTTGAAAAACATAAAATAAGGATGAAGTAGTTGTACACAGTACCATTTGAAAGAAATGGAGAACATGTGAAAGAACTCCGTTATCAATATGTCTGAGTACATAGCTATGCATAATAATAAATTAAAACTGTGGGTTTACTTTATTTTAGACGGTAATGGAGATGGAGGCCAGACCAACTCCACATAGCTTCATCTTTGTGGATGAAGCTGGATTCAACCTGGCAAAAACATGCCGCAGAGGAGGGCTACTGTGGATGTCCCAGGCCAGAGAGGAGCAACATTACAATGTGTGCTGCCCTCTCCAGTGATGGTGTGCTTTTGTACAAACCTCTCATTGGTCCGTACAATACAGAGAGGCTCATTTCTTTCTTGGATGACCTCCATAATCAGCTTCTGCCAGCAAGGGAGAGAGGTCAAAGGGCAAGAAACACAACATTTGTTGTTGTGTGGGATAATGTGGCATTCCACCACTCTGCTGCAGTCTCTGACTGGTTTGCTGCACATCCCAGGATGTCTGTCCTTTTCTTGCCTCCACCCCTTGCTGGAGCTAAAATAAATTTCACTGGTGTCGGACCACAGGGTGAGCTGATAGCAGATCAGATTTATTTCTCATAGTGGAGACCTGGTCAGTGAATTAGTCAAAAATAGGTTCAAGTTTTCATAAATCCACAAAATTGAATTGCAAAACTTAAATATGTGCACTGGGTAACATTGATATTATGCTTGACACTGCTGTCGATGCCAGGATCCCATATACATAACACTCATCAGCAGAAAAAAAAGAATAATAATGAATAAATAATAATAAATCACTATTTAATGTTTGGCTGATATGTAGTTTACTGATCCTGTGATATGGCAGGCCCGGGGGCTACTAGCTGAAATGCAGAAATGCCAGCAATGAAATGCACTTAATAGGGTATTCAACACACACATATGTATATATATCTGTATATCTACATATATAGATATATAGATATAGATATACAGACTAAAACTGGTTGGCTCACCTCAAGTCATGTGGCATAACAAGATATGGAAGTATGCATTCAGGAACCCTTGAACTGTCATGACAGCTGCCTTCAAGATGCCCCTGAGCAAGTTACTTAGTCGAAGAATGTGGTATAACTGGGTACTTCCCGCATGTGAACGTACACAATGTTTACCTGAACAGAAGCGGGAAGTGCTATATATGAACATACGTTTGCATTCCATCTCTGTTTGTGTGTCAGCAGCTTGTAGCAAGTGTGGCGAAGCTGCAGCAGGAGTTCGCCCACATGAAGCATGGGTGCACCATCCTTGCTGTCATGGGCCAGCTTGCTTCCAAGGAAAAGTGCTTCAGCAACTTTGCTGACATCACAAACAAGGGGAATACAGAACAGGCAGAGGAAGTGGAAAACACATTGAGACAACATTAGGATGCAGGGTGGTTTGGTGCACTCGGGGACCATTGTACAGTCTGATGATTAAACCACTGAGTGCCATTAAATAAGCCTTGACCTCTTGCCTGCAGCTTAATGGCCATCATGTTGACAGAAGTGGTGCTGCTTCCTAAAGGGATGGACAGGTACAATACCTCCCTTTAACTAAATGGACTAGACAAACTGCAGTTCCAGTTCCAGCCACAAGAGGCAGTAGAGCATTAGAGACACAACACAGATAACTATATTAGTATGTGATATTTAACTAGCCTACAATTATTTCACCTCTCTCAGTACATATTGTGTAATTTACAGCTAAGAAAATGAAATCATTGTTTAATACCGGTTTTATTTACTTTTCATGCAGTTGCCTTGATGGCTACAGTTTCAAGGAGTGAATAGTTAGAGTATTTTAGACACAATATGTTCCATCAAATTATGAAGTACCACTAAAACCAAAGATATGATAAGATATGAGTCTGTATCAAATCTGAAAGTGCACATTCAACAGTAAGAGTGATTATGTGTCACACAGACTAAGGACAACATTATTACACTGTGAAAATATGAAAATGGCGAATCCCATAAAGAGCTGCTCCTGAAAGTGATGTTCATATTAAAACAATATGTTGTTGATTAGTTAATCAGGAATTGTAGAGGCATTGTGTCATGTACTACCATTGATTTTGTGGATGTTTTCCATAAAAGTAGGTCACAGTGTTTTAATGGTTATCTAGTTCATAAGGAGGCAATGTAACTTCTGACCGCAGCGTACCATGATCTGTACATTTAGATGAAATGCCCCAGGTGAAAACTAATCTCCAATCTGACCAACAGAAAAAACTGAAATGTGTGATCTATTTTCAAAATTCAAATGCCATGATCAGAAATTTTGAACGGGGGAAAAAAACTATTTTGTGATACTAGACATGACTGTGACTCATACTTTTACCCATGACAACCAGTTATTGTCCATGACAAAAGACGCTGCTCTGTGTACCGTGACAGAAATGGGTATGAGCACACAGAGTTAGACAGATTGGGTTTGGCCATGTCTGCATACCTTTCCATCAGTGTATTTGAAAGAAGAAGGAAAAAAAGAAAGAAAAGAAGACTTGTCAGGTGTAGCTTTTACTTCCTGATTCCTCCACCAAGGTTGCCTTTGTCACAGCAGCTGAGCACTGAACTTCAAACAAGCACTTATCTTCCGTACCAGCAGCACACACAGCACACAGGGCTGTATTTTTAAATAGAAGAGGTTGAGGAGGAAATGGTGAGTAGAATCATTAACTGTGCCATATTCTTCCGGGAAATGTTTTGGGCATCTACTGTATATATTCAATCTATGTGTATCTCATATGATTAGATAAATAGAGTTTTCTTATATGTTTTAGAGGTAAATAATTAACATCATGTACCTCTTTAAATGCATTTTTCAAAGGTTTGACTCATGGATTATTGTCAGATCATCTTTGTGCTCACAGGTTAGTGCCTCTTTTTTTTTTGCTCTTTGTGTTTCTTGTTGTTTGTCTTTTTGAAGCAGTTACAAGTTCGGCAGTCTTCACTCAGTGCTGCTCAGGGGTATTTCTTTGTCTCAGTGGAACTGAGACAAAGTTTGTTAATTAATCAGTTGTTTAAGATCAAATATTCCTGTGCAGTTTTTTAGGGCAGGAATTCTAAGTGCAGAAAGTGTTTTCTTGAGGGGTAACTGGATATTTGATAATTTTCAAGTCCAGTTAAGTAAATTTTAGATATTCTTTGATTCTGGTTTTAAATCTCATTTACAAATCAACTCTGATGTTAGCTCTGGTTTTTACCATCTTAGGTCACTTGCAAAATTAAAACCTTTCCTTTCAAAGATTTTGAGATTCCAGCCCATGCTTTTATTTCCTCACGCTCAGACTATTGCAGTTCCCTGCAGTAGGAATCAGTCAGTCAGCACTATCCCGCCTGCAGCTTGTTCAAAATGCAGCAGCAAGAATCCTCACTGGTACCAGGAGGAGAGACCATATCACCCTGGCACTGGCCTCTCTTTACTGGTTACCAGTGAAGAATTGATTTTAATATGTTTGTGTTTCATTTTGTTGTTTGTGCAATGCTTTTTGTGTTATGATGTTGTCAGGGACCCCCTGCCCAGGACAAACAGACATGTGATACATATTGTGTGTACAGAATACACCAACACAGAAAATTACAGTTTCACAATCAGGACTATAGGAAATATAGATATAGATAGATTGTAAACATATGAAGAATTTCAATCTGGGAGGGCATGGAGCAACTACAGGTGTCACCAAACAACAAGCATAAATGAAGATTATGGTACAGTGACAAAAATGTCAATGCATAGAGACTCACTGGAGTCCAATGACTTAACAATTCATTCTTTATGCTCACTTTCAGATGGTTTATGAACTGGTTCTTTTTTAATGTCAGTGATGAACAGTGAAAACCGCTCTGCTGAGACAGACTGAAACTTGATATGGCTCAAGCTGACTGGCAAATTGTTAAGTCAATAAATGCAGCATGTCTGTCATCAGTGAGGAAGAAGCTCTGTAAAACCCCACAGTAATGTTGTTTAACCCACCTCAAGCAGTGTCTTTCCACATACACTATAAAAAAGAGAGTCTACATGCTATATTAAAAAAGTAAGTAATATAAAAATGTATATGTTTTGTTTTAGGAGCACTGATCAATGTTGCCTCCACCCAAACTCATCAGTACCACTTTGTGAGCACACCACTGAACTGGACTGAAGCTCAGAGCTTTTGCCAACAGTTCTACACTAACCTGGCCACTGCAGAAAACACAGCTGACATCAGTGCCATTATCAGCACCACATCAAACTACACAGGCAAGTTTTCAACACTGGAATCAAATATGTAACATAACATATATA